GGGAAACCCCAGAAAGGGCACCGACGCTGCCACTCCCGGACCTCCCCCGGGGCGCGCTTCGACCCGGGAAGCTTCGAGGCGAATCCGGCGGCGGCGACGAGGGCCTCCCTGGAGGCCGAACAGATCCGGCGTCGCAGCGTGGCCCCCCAGAGGTCCGGGCCCCTTCCGGGGCGCCGGCTCTCCACCCCGACGGCCCCGGGGCCCGGCGAGAGGGGCCCCTCTGAGGCCCGAGCGCCCTGGAAGACGAACCAAAAATCTAGACTGGCTGCTCATTGCTCCAGCGGCAGCTGCATTCGGAAGGACCGCGCGGTATCCAAAATCCCTCCCAGAATCACATGTGCTTTACCGCGCTTGCATGAAGAAAGTTCGATGAAGATATATGTTGCAAAACAGATGCGGGCGGTATGCTGTCTTCCTTATTTTAGATACGGGGCCAGTGTTAGAAACGAACATGTATGTTTAGATATGTTTAGATACGGTTCAATATGGCACCCATCGCTGGAAAACATGTCTACCAAACAAACAAAAACTAATAGATACGGCGGCATGTCTCCACTGCCAGGCCTAGGCCGCTCAATGACTACGAACAGGGAAAACAAAACACATACCAGTCAGGACGACGATGATGATGATGAGGAAGTGAAGTGGGAAATTATGGACGGCGGGGGAGCCCGACGATCATTAGGACGAGGAGGACGAAGCGAAAAGAGCAATTTTCTTAAATCGTTGATCATCGACTCCATCCCCGTCCTGACCCCCCTCCTCCACGTTCTCCTTCTGACGCTCCTTCCAACTCCACCTCGCTCCTCTTGCCTCCTCGCCGCGCGCCGTCCTCCTCCTCCTCCTCCTCCTCCTCCTCCTCCTCCTCCTCGTCCGCGTTCATCGTCCGAATCGATCCTCCCCTGCTCCACATCAAGATCCTTACGCGCCCTCATCGAGATTGATATCCCCCCTCACGCCTCTGACTCGTCCTTACAATTCTGCTCCTCCAACTCCTGCTCCCCCGAACTCCTCCCAATTTCGCCCTCAGGAGTCCCGTGCTTTACTCCCCATGTTCGTCAACCTCCTCGGCACCTCCCCACGATGGTCACCCTCATGCTCCTCCTCCTCATCTCCGTTACTGCTATCGCAATCGTCCCTCGAGTCCTCTGCGCGCGCCAACGATCGACCATTATCGCTCCTCACTCCTCTTGGACCATCCTCATCCGCCCTCCTCGGTGCTCATGTTCTCTTCCCTTTTTTCGCCACATCTTGAATGGGGTTCTTGATTTCCCACATCCTGAGTGGGGTTCTTGCTTTCCTAGAACACCCTCTCCTTCTCCTTCTCCTCCTTTGTTTCCCACCTCCATACTATACCATACCAAAACGTACCATACCAATACAACACCTACCTACCATACGACACCTACCATACCACCCCTACCATACCATACCTACCATATCATACCATACCAAACCTACTATACCATACCATACGTACCATTTCGTGCCATACTATGCCATACGTACCATGCCAGACCTATCATACAATACCAGACCTGCTATACCATACACCGCCTACCATACCACAACTACCATACCATACCTACTACTCCAGGGAGGCCACGAGGACATGATCGGGATACCAGATAAGTTAAAAGGTTTCGTGCCCCTCCCACTCCTCCAGGGAAGCCCCGCCTGAGCGAGGAGGGTATTCGAAACCAATGTTATGTATCCGGTTTCGTGCCCCTCCCACTCCTCCAGGGAGACTCCGCCTGAGCGAGGAGGGTATTCGAAAACAGTGCTGTTTATCAAATGTCATGCCCTTCCCACTCCTCCAGGGAGGCCCTGCCGGAGCGAGGAGGGTATTGGAAGACCATGTTATGTATCAGATTTCGTGCCCCTCCCACTCCCCCAGGGAGGCCCCGCCTGATCGAGGAGGGTATCCGAAAACCATGATTTGTATCAAGTGTCGTGCCCCTCCCGCTCCTACAGGGAAGCACCGCCTGAGCGAGGAGGGCATTCGACAACAATCGTATGTATCAGATTTCGTGCCCCTCCCGCTCCTCCAAGGAAGCCCCGCCTGAGCGAGGGTATTCGAAAATCAGTGTTATGTATCAGATTTCGTGCCCCTCCCACTCCTCCAGGGAGGCCCCGCCTGAGCGAGGAGGGCATTCGAACACCATGTTAGTTATCAGGTTTCGCGCCCCTACCACTCCTCCAGGGAAGCCCCGCCTGAGCGAGGAGGGTATTCGAACACCATGCATCATGTTTCGTGCCCCTCCCACTCCAGGGAGGCCCCGCCTGAGCGAGGAGGGCACTCACAATCAATGTAAGTGATGATGTTTCATGCCCCTCCCACACCTCCAGGGAGGCCTCGCTATGCATCAGGGCTCGTGCCCCTCCAACTCCTCCAGGGAGGCCCCGCCTGAGCGAGGCGGGTATTCGAAAAACCATGTCATGTATCAGGTTTCGCGTCCCTCCCACTCCTCCAGGGACGAACGTGCTTCCTGAACAGACGTCGTCTTCCTCCACGAGCCCCCCCGGAGAGCACAGCCAACGGCATTCGTCCTGACAGAATTAGATACGAATAGATACGGCGTGGCACTGTCATTCTTTGAAAAATAGGTACGAACAGATATGCGTTGTTGGAGAAACAGGTACGGTCCCAAATGTAAGCATGCTTGAAACTAGATACATACGTTTATTGGAGGGTGAAAGAGGGGGTCTGCAACAGGGGGTCTTCAGTTCGGGAGCGGCAAAGAGAGGGGCGTCAAAGAGGTGGGGGCGCAAATCATGACAGGCGGCATGTGAGCGGGCCAGCAGGGGGGCCGGGGACGCAATGAAGTGAGAAGAGGCGCCCTGAAATCCGAGAAATATCATGGCCCCCGCCATGATAGCCACCCCCCCCTAGCCATCACCCCCCTCTTTTCCGCCCCCGATCAATGGGGGCTGAGTGTCCCATGTGTGCTCGATGCATCGCTCGTGCATGCGACCGGGTACGGTTGCGATTGGCATCCAATGGTGGCGGTCGTGGAGGGCCAACCGCTCGCGCCCGCGCGTTGCCCGCGCGGGCAAACGCGCCGTCCATCCGTTGTCGTTCATGCGCGCGGGCGTTCTTGCATATCGCGCTTGGGGCGGCGAAGTGGAGTGCAAATGCGTCGTGAATCCTGCGATTGGCGATCGCGTGCGTTTCCAAATGATGACCTGTCGACCCCCAAGACCGATTTGGAATGGGGCCCGCGATTCTCCCAAAATGTGTTTTCGCATGTTCCTTTTTCTCCAAAATGTGAATTCACGTTTTCCTTTTTCCCAGAATGTGAATTCACATTCTGGCCCCGTCATGAAGATTCCTACACAACATTCCAAACTGTGAATTCATAGTTTCCTTTTTTCCCAACGTGTGAATCCACACATTCCTTCTTCCCAAAATCTGAATTCAGATTTTCCTTTTCCCCACGATGTGAATTCACATTCTGCCCTGGCCCTCCAGATCCCCATAACTGAGGCTCAGTGCTCCGCATGCCAGATTGGCCGGGCAGATTTTGACACTCACCTCACCGCGTTCGTTTATTCCAACGTTTTCTTGTTGCGCCCTCAGCGCACGTTGCCCTCATAGCCTTTCCCGAGACCCCCTCCTCTGCTTCGTTCACCTTCAAGTCTCGCGCGTGGGCGCAGGCGGGGAGCTTCAACTGGTTCCCCCGCCGAACACATCAATCGAAGATGCATCGCCCATGGATGGCCCATGGAAACACCATTGCCGGGACCCTGCGCCCGACCCCCACTTTCACCCTTCAAGCTTAGATTCGGCGGCGCTCCCGCGCAGGCCGGGGGCGCGCATCTATCTATCTATATATATATATATAGTGTCGTCGTTGCAGAAAATAGATACAATGGGCTTTTCGCCTGCACCAGGGCGCGATCGCATCTAAACGCATCTATTATGTTTAGATGCGTCTTGCAGGGCCTCAAAGGCACAGCCCCTCGCCCCTCGTGCTCCCTTCACGACGCGAGGATGTCAATAGGCGCCTTCTCCTCCTCTTCCTCCTCCTCCTCCTCTTCATCCTCCTTCTCCTCTACCTCCTCTCTCTCATCTTCCTTCTCTCTCCCTTCCTCCTCCTCCTCCTCCTCCTCTTCCTCCTCCTCCTCCTCCTCATATTCCTCCTCCCCTTCCTCCTATCTCCAATCTTCCTTCTCTCTCCCCTCCTCCATCTCCCCCTCCTCCTCCCCCTCCTCCTCCTCCTCCTCCTCCTCCTCCACCTCCCCCTCCTCCTCCTCCTCCCTCCTTCTCCTCTTCATCCTCCTCCTCCTCCTTCTCCTCCTCCTCCTCCTCCTCCCCCTCCTCCTTCTCCCTCTCCTTCTCCTCGCCCTCCTCCTCCTCCTCCTCCTCTTCCTCCTCCTCCTCCTCCTCCTCCTCCTCCTACTCTTCCGGCGCGCCTGGGGGGAAGCGAGATGGGGCCGATCCTCCCAGAAGGCTCGGAAGTCCCTGGGCCTTGGGAGCAGTTTTCTAAGCCTTCCCCGAAGACGCAGAAGACTTCTCTGAGAAGGCCAGGGGTCTTCTGAGAAGCCCTGCCGTCCTCCGGGGAGGCCTTCTCCTTCTCGCTTCCTTTCCTCGCTCACCGCCAATATGTTGGACGGGCGACACGTTGTCTCAAATGGGCAACGTCGGCGGCGACGCCTGCAGCGACAGCTGCTCAAAACGGGCAGGGCGGTCCCCCCAGACACTCGGCCGTTCCAGCTTTGATGCTGGGGCCCCGGAGGTCTGGGCCAGCTCTGCATCCTGAACCGTTTTCGACGCTCCCAAAGCCCGGCGAGGGTCCCCAGAGGCCGCAAACTGCCCCAACCCAGGCGCTGCACTGCTTTTGGAGGGTCAGAGTCTCTCTTCTTCCTCCTCCTCCTCCTCCTCCTCCTCCTCCTCCTCCTCCTCCTCCTCCTCTTCCTCCTCCTCCTCCTCCTCCTCCTCCTCCCCCTCCTCCTCCCCCGCTCCAATTGTTTGGGAGCGTCGGAGGGGCCGCGCGCTCCTCCTCGGTGAGCTCCACGGGGGCGCTGGGCTCCTCCGCGGGCTCCTCCTTCGGCTCCTGCTGGGGGGGGCCGCGCCAGAGGCGCTCCCGGTCGTCGGCCCACCTGTCGATCTCGGTCGTCCACGTCCCCTCTCCCTCTTCCCTTCTTTCTTCTCCGTCCTCCTCCGTCCTCCTCCGTCCCCCTCCTCCTCCTCCTCCTCCTCCTCCTCCTCCTCCTCCTCCTCCTCCTCCTCCTCCTGGTTCATCTCATCCTCTTCCTCCTCCTCCTTCTCCTGGTCTTCTTCCTCCTCCTCCTCCTCGTCCTCCTCCTTTCCCCTTATCCTCCCTGCACCCTATCATCCCTCTCCTCCACTTCGTCTCCATCTACCTCCTCCTTCTCTTGCTCCCCCTCCCTCCTCCTTCTCCACACTGCCCTCCGTTTCCCGCCCCTCCCCCATGACGCCAGTCCAATTGGGAGGAAGAGATACTGATGCTGTAGATGATCACAAACAAGACAAGACGACATGGATGTCCACCAGGCTGATGCTGTCGGAATGATTGTCACTGCGCCACAGGCCCAAGAGACACTATTGAGCGCCCGCTGAAGGAGGAGAGAAGTGCCACTCTAGGCCAACACCGACATAACTTTTCTCCTGCAATGACGTCGCCCTAATGACTCGGAGGAGGGCCAATTGAGGAAATGGCTGCTCTCCCGCCCGGCACATCTCCGCTTAAATCCGCGCGAAGAGAACATGTGCAACGCATACAACGGTTTGCCCGTGCAAAGGGTGGAGGGGGGTGCAGACCCTTAAGGCAGACCCAAGCATATTTCATAACAATCTACACACGCAGCGAGGTAGATCTGTTGTCGTCAGTGGTCGCGCACTCCGATACTCCGCCCAACATTTCAAAATGTTCTCTGGGATGCCGTGCGAACCCATCTTGGTAGCATAGACTTGCCCGTTGGCGTCTCTGTCGATTACTGCTTATGTTGCATGTTTCTCCCTACAAGATAAACTCAAATTCGCTCATACAAAATTTGTGGTCTGATCCCAAGTGTGGCGCGTTGGTGGAGCCATAATTGGTCACGTACTGGCGCATATTCTTGCCCAGGAAACGGCACCTGAGGTGCAAGCACTGTGTGTGTGGGGGGGGGGCGAATTAGATAGAATACGCCGCACGCGGTGCGGAGATGGAGCTGGCAGGACAGAGAGTGTGAGAACAACGCCCAGGGTTAGCTGTCTGCGGCCCCAAAGAGGCCACACGCACGGCTCGTACGTAGCACGGCAAACCCCTAAAAATGTCGACCGAACGAAAGCTGGCACGCACGTGCCGTGCACCCCATAAATGGAAGTTCGGTGGAGCATTCGGCTTGAGGGACTGCAGAAGGTCGTGGGCCACGAACGTTGGGGGAGGGGACCTTGCTGGCAGTTCGCGCGCCTCGCTGGTCGTCCATTTCCTCCTTCTCCCCTTCCTCCCTGCTTCCCTTCCTCTTCAACCTCCGCTTCCTTCTCTTTCGCTTCCCGCTTTCCTCCTCCCCATCCTCCCTTCCATTCTTGCTCTCGAGCCCCCTCCTCGTCCTAATCCTCCTCCTCGACCTCCTCCTTGGCCTCCCCACTCCCCTGCCCCCGTCCTCCACCTGCCGCCGGGCGGGTTGTGGTGCGCTCCTCTGCTGGCTCTTCGGCCTTCTCCTCTTCCTCCGCTTTGCCGTCCTTCTTCTTCTGGGCGGCCAGCTTGGCCTTCTTGGCCTCCTGGGCGGCACTCGTTTCGGCCGGCCGCCCAGCCGCGCCGGGCCCACCGATCGCACTCGGGGAGCCAAAGCTGGAGGAGAAGGAGGAGAAGGAAATCCGTAGCCATTTTGGTTCAAGCCCGTACTGTTTCGCTCAGGACGAGGAGCTTTTTGGCAGGGGGAGACGCGGCCCCCGTTGCTCGCACACAACCCGTGACCGAACGTCGTTCGGCCCGCCCCTTGTCCAACTATTATTCCAGGCCCTGATAGATGCTCTGTTCTGGGTGCTCGTCTGCCGTTCAGGAGATGGCACAGAGGTATCAGCAGGATTGGGTGTGCACGTCTTGTACCAACCAATTTGGGAAACATCTCTGGACCTTCGCGCCGAATACGCACAATCGAGGACGTCGCCTCCATAAGGGATCGCGTTTCCTTCGGAATCGTGAGATTGACCGTGCTCCCTCGGTTTCGCTTGTTCTTCGGGGTAAAAGGAAGCCGCCGTGGGCTGAGGACCCTGGGGGCCCCAAGTCGAACCCTGAGCTCAAAAGGGCACAAGCTCGCATGTCCGCCCTGGAAGCGCAGCTCGAAGCTCAAAAGGCTGGGGCTGCGCAGAATGGGGGCGGCCATGGTGGTTGATGATGGCGCTGATGGCGGACCTGGGGACGCTGCTGACGAAGCAGAACGTAGCAAGGCCCGCCTGGTCGTTGTCTCCCAAGAGTTGGTTGGCTTGGAAGAGCTCGGTAACACGTCGACCTCCGACTACATTCGCTCGTGCATCCGAGCGGCCCGGGAGGAAAAAGGAAAGATTCCAAAAGGCCCTGCAGAACAGCAGGCCGCCTGCAGTGCAGATGCAAGTGCTGTCGCGCCGAATCACCCAGGCGCAGCAGGTGCAGGAGCAGAAGGAAGGTACATGGAATAGTACTGCGCGAAAGCTCGAGCAGATGCGGCAGCAGGTGGAGAAGGACAAGGCCGCGATGGACGACGGGGCCCAGCATGTCATCGCGCTGCAAGCCGAGCTGTTCGAACTGCAAAAGCGCAACAGACCACTGCGCGGAGATGGAGCTGAAGGTGGTACGCAGACAGCCGTCATTCCAGAGCTGGCAGTTGATGTGCTCTGGGCACTCTACTGGCTGAAATCTGTGCTGGTAAAGAGTTGGGTAGCAAGTTGGATCAGTGGGCCAAAACAAGGCCCAAAGCGTTCTTCACATGCAAGCAGGCGGCAGTCGTGGAGGCGATCTCCGTGGTTGCCGAAGAAGGGGAGCAATTCCCAGCATGGGACGCGGACGGCGTGGATCTGGACCAGCTTCGCAACGACATCGCAGAGGTCTGCAAGCCCGCCGATATCCCAGATAATGATGAAGTCAAATGGAAGGAGTTGGGACAAAAGCTTTGTGCGAATGGTCAACGTCCTCGCTCTGCTGTTGTCCCCTACTAACGCGATGGCGGTTGCCCAAGAAGATCAACAATACCCACGCGATACCATTTGCAGAATTGAGCAACGGAAGATGTGGAATATATCTGGTGCCATTATTTCGGCTGTGCCTGCGTGGCCAGTGAAACTTGAATGGGTTGAGGAGTTCCTACCAGACACTGGCTCAGAATATGGCACTCCTCGCATGGCCTGGGCTGTGCATTTCCCAGGGGCGAGGACAAGTGCAGCGACGGGTGGCAGTTCTGGCTCTGGTTATGTTACTTTTCGCATGGCCTGGCGCGTGCATTCCCCAGGGGCAAGGACATGTGCATTGACGGGTGGCAGTTCTGCATCGTGGGGGTTGTCGGCTTCGGGCGCCGCGTGTGGCGTTGCGCGACCACCTATTTCGGACATGGCTGATGAAGCGCAGCCGGGGCAACAAGCTCCATGAGCAATGGGAAGGATGCCGCCGGAATCCCAGACGAGGGGCGAGTATCCTGACTTGTGCGAGGACCTCACTAACTGGGCGGCGATGTGGATGCACGGCATTGAGGGTGGCTTAGAAGGCAATCCTTTACGTGGCTGGACTATTTGGTGCGAGCCATATCTGCAGGAACTACTTGAGGTACCTCGCAACAGGCATCTGCGACGTGAGCTTCTGGACCTGCTTAGTAGACGCATTGGCAGAGAATGGGGGGTTGGATAAGCAACCGTATATCGATGCGAGTGCGTGTATCATAAGGCGCAGCCGAGGCGCAGGGCTTTCTGTCGATATATTGGAAGCCTAATAGACAGTGCTCGCAGAGCGGCGCTGGGTTACCATCGGGGTGCTCTGGCGGAGCTGAAACGCATGTTTCGCGAGCTACTCTAAGATCACCCTCCAGATTGTGATGGCCCGAAATCTCGGGGAAAATGCTGCGAGGGCGGGGGCAACGATGGCAATCGCAGGCAGCAGGGGCAAATGGACCGCCACATGGCACAAGTGACACCAGCGGGCGGAGATTTCAGTGTCACCAAGGCCGCGCTGGTCGCTGAGGACCCTCCTTGGACCGAAGGGGTGCAGGGGCTATTCCTTATGCCGAATGCACATCGACTATTTCTTGGCTTGCGAGAGCACTGAGGGCTTGGTTGCTACACCTGTGGTGGATGAGGTTTGCCCTGTTCGCGCGCATCGGCCAGTGGCGCCCCCGTTCGTCGCTCAAGATGCTCAGGCCGAGTTGGTGTCGATGGACGACCAGGCCCCCCTGGAGGGCCTCCAAATGGTTTGGGCTTATCCGTTTCATCAAACTGTAGCGCCACGATCATGGCTGTGCTGGGGGCTGCATCCGATCGTCTCTCGAATCGTCGTCGTGGCCTCCCGAACCCCCACCTCCTTCGCCGGCAACGGCTGGGCCGATGGCGAAAGGAAGGTGCCCGGGCAAGTCGAAGTTGTTCGGAGGCTCGGATATCTTAATGCTGAAAGGGGACATTCCCAGGATTCGTTCCTTGGGCGCCCCCCCGCATCGAACCTTCACCCGCTTCAAGAGTCACCTCGAATGCCGGCCCAGGAATGAAAGGCGATTCTGCGGGAGGAAGCGTTGGCATTGACGGAGCGGTCAACATCGGCATCCTACGAAGATCCGAACTTTCTGGTTTGAATACTTGCATGCCCTCTAATATCGGCAAGATTGCTCATCTGGCGTTCGGGTTCAACATCCTTAGGCGGAGCCGAGTGTCTCGGTGCCCTTTCGTCTGGGCCATCGTTTACCCGCTGAGTATCGGGCGCGCCTCGGGATTCTGCCCTTCCCTCGCGATCATCCCGTTCTCCTAACGTCTTCTCCCATGCGCATTCATTACAGCGATTGGTGCCCATGTCCAGATGATCCTGACGCGTGCGCTTCAAACGAGCCCTGCATACTTCGGTCGAGGGTTTTGCACAGATGCGACAGATCTGACTCGGAGCGACTGTTCGCGTTTGAGCATGCGGGGCGCCGGGCTTCCGAATGGGGCGAGCGATCGGGCGAGGAAGCGGCTCAACGCGCGCCAGATGTGCCGGAGTTAATTCGACCTCTTCCCAGGGGCCAACTTCTACTGGCGAAGCCGTAGTCATGGACCCTACTTTTGGCAAAGATTATGTCGCGGGTTGCCCGGTTAACCGAAACCTGCCCCGTGGTTCTTTGTCCATCCGACGTTGCTCCAGGTCAGACCTTAACCTCCTGTTTTCCACTCGCAGCCCGATTGGCAAGAACCTTCTTGTCCCTTCAGACGGTCCCAGGCAATGGCTATTCTTTTCTGGTCTTCATCTCTGGTCACCTGGGCCTTCTGTCCTTTTTCTCGAAGGGCTGGCAGGGCTTCCGATTTTACTATCTCAGCCTCGAGTCTAGCAGCTTCAAGTTGATTGCGGAGCCCCTGATTTTCTCGCGCAACTTGTTCTCGGGCTTCTTTCTCTCCCTACCATCTCGCTGCATCCGTTTTCTCTCTGCATCAGCTTTCTCCCTCTCGGCCTTCTGCTGAGAGTCTGACACCAGTTGTTCAGCTATGCTCAGGATTCTCAATCTTTCAATCTCCTCTTGGGCCATGCGCCGTTGTGCTTCGTCTGTAACCCCTTTGCTACGTTGGCCTCAGGATGCCGCGTCGGTTTCTGCGCATTTGCCACAATGATGGTTTTCTCATGCTCCATTTTTTGTGCAATTGCTTGTCTCTCAGCCTCGTGAGCTGCAAGCATTCGTTGAGCCTCTTCGGCGGCCTTCTTCTTTTCCTGCGTCTCAGAGATTATCTGTTGTATATGTGCGCTCGCAGCCCTCAGCTGGTCCCGATCCTGTCTATTTCGTTCAGCCCACTCTTGAACCGCAATATGATGTCTATTGTGCTCTTCCATCGTGGTGCACTCCTCACGAAGCCATGCCGGACTACATGCGGGGCAAACATTCGAATTTTGGGAACACACTGGCCTTCTACATGAAACCCTCGGTTTGCGCGCTTTCCCAGGGCATCGCTTCCCCGCCCGAGTGGGGCGAGGTGGCCCAGCGTTCCAGCGGCCCTCCCGCATCGAGAAGCGTCAGGTGGTTTTGCTCGATGACATCCGCTGCGATTCAAAGGAATTGACCCTCTGGCACTGGAACGTCCGGCCCTGGGGGCCACACTGGAACGCCCCCTTTCAGTGCTGGGGGCACGCGTGTGTTGTTCTCTTGTTTTCACACTTCTCTTGGTGATGCCAACGTCCAAACTCTGTGCTAAATCGTCTCTTTCGTCCTGCATTACGAGCTCATCAAGTTCTGGCACCCTGTCCCTGTTAGTCCTGGGCTGCGAGAAGTCTGGTCTGTAGATGCCCTGCAGCAAGGGCGAAGTATTCAAGTCATCGTTATCACCCTTCGGTTCTTCGTCAGTGGACGGGGAGTCATGCCTGTAGTTTCTCGCGTATTCCTCACTGCGCGCTCTACGTCGGGGTAATTGGACATCGGCTGTGCCGGCGGGCATCCACCTTGGTTTGGGTTTCCTCCGTCTTCGAGGTCATCGTCCGAATCAAGAATGGCCTTCTGACGGGCATCAACCGTTGCATAGTCAATCGTCGTACTCACTAACGGGTTTGAGCCTGAGGCGAGCCCGACACACTGGTCGGGGAGAAGATCGAG